AATCATTCAAAACTTTTTGGTTTTTATAATTGATTCATTCTAATTAATTCAATTGATCTCTTTAATAAAAAAAAAGGTACTTGGGATCAAATGGATTCGTCTAATATATATTGAATCTTTTGCTCGTGTCCATACACTTTCTTTGAGTGGAAAATTGTTACTGAGATTTGTTGATAAATTTCTTGTTCAATGGCCATATTTAGTAAATAAATATCCTCAAGCTGAATATAAAGGAATATTGGTTTGATATGAAAATATCATTTATATATAAAAGATAAATTAATTTTCAATTTACAATAATGTAATACATTTATATATGATGAAAAGTTCCATACTGAAAAAAATAATATAAATTTAATAAAAAGTTGATCTTTATAATTAATCTCTCTCTGTGCCTAATACTTTAACCAGTAGGATTAAATATTCCAATATATGCTCGTGTTTTTCTTGATTCTTTAACGTTATTAGTAATAATGTTATCAATATCCATTGATTTCAATTCTGCTTCTAGATCACGACGATTCTTTATTATCTTACATTTTTCTCATTTGTTGGTCGTCTTTAAAAAATACACATATAACATACGTTGGTATTTAGATAGGCTTATTTTTTAAAAAATGATTTTAAATAGTTTACCTTCCATCCCAATTCCACGAGAATTTCTTTTAATTCACGAATTTGACTTTTTGTATCTTCACATCCTGCCAATTCTCTGGACTTGAAAGATTAACAAAATCATAATATTATATATTGAAACTTTTGGTTGGTTAAAAAGAATATTAAATAACTTTACCAAATTTACGAACTCCACATTTTACAATAAAAGACTTCAAACTCTTAATTGTTATTTCTTCTTTATTGTTGTTTTGCTAAGAAAAAAAAAACAAATGTAAAATTATATACTATATATTATATTAATTATTATATTATCTTTATTATTACTCACGGATTTATCATCATTTTTTGAGATCTTTTTTCCATTGATGGTTTAGGATCGTCTTTGAGTCCACTGAGTTCACCACTATCAATAATATCATTCTTTTTCTTTGGAATAGATGATTTGGTTTCTCTAGATCTTTTCTTTGTCAGTGGCTTAGGATCACTAAGTTCATCACTACCAGTATTATTATTTTTTGTAAGAGTTTATTTGGTTTGTCCATATCTTTTCTTTGTTGGTGGTTTAGGATCTTCTTCAAGTTCACTAATTCCATCATTATCATCTTCCTTTTTATTTGTAGTTTGTCCAGACCCTTTCTTTATTAATGATTTAGAATCGTCTTCAAGTTCATCAGCACCAATGATATCTTCATCATTCTTTCTCTTTGTATGAGATGATTTGGATTGTCTAGAGCTTTTTCTTCGTTGATGGTTTAGGATCGTCTTTAAGTTCATCACTATCATCTTTCTTTTTATTTGAAGTAGATCTTTTCTTCGTTGATGGCTTAGGATCGTCTTCAAGTTAACCACTATCATCTTTCTTTTTATTTGGAGTAGATGATTTGGATTGTGTAGATCTTTTCTTTTTTACTGGTTTAGGATCGTCTTCAAGTGCACTAAGTTCATCGTTATCATCTTCCATTTTGTTTGGAACAAGTGATTGGGTTGATAGTTTAGGCTCATGTTCAAGTTTACTGGCCTCATCATCATAAATTTCTTCATCTCGGATATTTTTGATTCATTAATCTCTGCTTCATTGCCATTATAAGATATTTTATCAGAAATTCTGTAAATCCATTTTATTTTTTAAGAATTGGTTTATACAATCAAATGCTGCCTTCGTTTGAAAAAAAAAATAATAATAATTTAATACCTTCACTGGCCCCTCCTGCTCTGAATCAGAATACATAGATATTATTATCACCTTTTCTTTTTCCTCTTTTTCTACTATTGCTTCCTTCTCATTCTAGGAAAATAAAATAAAATTGTGTCGATCACTTGTATAATTAGTCATATGACTTAATACGCGACATTGTTACGCCATAGTGCCAAGTTTATAAAAAAGAGTTTTGCTACACAAACTACAAAAATGGAAATTTAATTGTTAAATTCAAAAATTTTTTTTTAAAAAAAACTTTAAAAACTATTATTGTTATTATATATAATAAAAATGAGTAATGTTTAATTGTGCTGTTTACTTGTTGTTTTGAAAATTTTATATATGACAGTTATTAACATGCACGGGTATTTTTTTTAAAAAAAAATTAGCACCAAATGGTTCTGATAATTTTGAAGACAGGCATAGAGATGATGGAGAAGAGATGCACATGGACGATCGTGAAAATAGACGAAGTATGAGAAGTTCCCGTTCTAGAAGCCCTCATCGATCTAGGTCACCTAGAGAAAGAAGGTTTACATTATTTATTTTTAATTTATTTATTTACATTATTTGTTATAAAAGTTAAAAATCAATGTTTTTGTTGATAGTAGGGATGAAGAAACTAATTCTGGTAATAGTTTATTTGTTACTGGTTTATCTGTAAGAACTAGTGATCGTGACTTGGATGAATTTTTCTCAAAATATGGAAAGGTATATATATATACACTTGGCGATTAATGATTATATGGCGAATGAATTTATATTAAAATATTTTTAAAACATATTTATTTAATTCATAAGGTAATAAAAACTCAAATTATGTATGATCCTCATACTAGAGAATCACGTGGATTCGGTTTTGTTGCAATGGAGACATCTGAAGAAGCTGATTCAGCAAAAGAAGCCGTTAATGGTAGAGAATTTCAAGGTAGAGTTATAACAGTAGAAAAGGTAAGAAAATCGATCAATGAAATCTAATAAAAATAATATTAAATAATATAAAGATCTTATTTTATTTATTTATCTTTTTTAATTAGGCTCGTCGATCTAGACCTAGAACTCCAACACCTGGTCGTTATTATGGACCACCTAAACGTCGAGGTATAGTATAGTTTATAAAAATTAAGTTTTTATATCATCATAAAATTTAAAATAATTGTTATTGCCATTTTTCATTCAAAGAACCACGCCGGGTTGATAGATTTGATCCAAGATATGATTATACTAGATCTTATGATAGATATGATAGGCCACCAAGGAATTATGGGCGTGAACCCTATTATGATCGTGGATATGATAGGTCTTACTATGATAGAGGTTATGAAAGAGGAGGAGGATACGAAAGAAATTATGATAGAGCCTATGAAAGAGGATATGATCGAGATCGACGACCACAACCCCCTGCAAGATATGACCCTTATCAAAGACCTCGTTCACCATACTAGCAGGATTATTCCATTTTTCCCATTGAATATTATGAAAAATTGGAAATTTTTTTATTTTTTTTTAATATAATCACAGTATATTTTTATCTATCCGATAATTATTTTATTAGTTAATTTGGAATATAATTTTTTTAAAATATTATTTTTTAAAGTTGTTGTAGGCAACAAATTATTATGAACTTTACACCTATTCAGCATTTTTCACCTTTTGCTTCAAAAAAAAAAAAAAAGAACCAACAAAATGGTCAGCAAAAAAAATAATTTTTTTTTTACAACTGCTACTTGTACATCAAAACTGCAGCTTTATCCAACCCACAACAATAAAAAAGCATCATTGACAACATTTTCTTCTATTTTTCAGTATCAAAGATTCGATTTTTTAATTTCAACAGAACTATTATCCACAGTTCAGCAATATATATATTAATTATTCAATATATTATTATTTTTATCATTTGCCAGTTATACAATATCTCCAACAAATTTAAATTTCGTATTACACCTGTGTACCTATACATATTGTGATATATATATATATTGTTTTACAGCTGTATCTTTGAAGTTACTATACTATTAATATTGGCTTAATTATTGTGTAAATAATATTTATCTTGGAAATTAAGTTGTTAAAACTAAAGAAAGGTAAACTAGTATCATCTACTATTTGTTATTTTGTTGAATTATTGTTTTAATATTATTATTATTTTTTTTTACTAATTATTTTGTTCAAAGTTAAACATAAAGCAATTGGGTTTTTTTATGGAGTTATATATAAAGAATTTTAAAGATAAATAAAAAATTTTATTATATAAAGATACTGTATACTATTTGTTTAAAAGGTTAAAACAATAGTGTTTTTATAAGTTACATGTTGTTTTTATGTAACATTATTACGAATTACACCTAATCTTAATATATGTGTACCAATGAATAATATCAATAACGGCTTCGTTAACATAGGATTATTTTCTCTACAATTCATTTTGTTAATTGTCACGTTATCATGGCTTCAAAATTGGCGTTTATATTACTTCAAATATCATTGCTAACTAAACCAGAACCCAAGGCGTCCTTCACAATTATATTTAATATTTGCAAATGGAAAGATATAAAAATCATTTTGAGATAAAACTATCTCATGTTTCCCAAAAAATATATTTAATGAATGTGAACATTTAATTGAACATTGAATATTAAATATTAGTTTTGGTAATTATAATCATGGGTTTTCCAGCAAAATATGGTTATAGATCTCTGGCCAAAATTGTGTTTTTTGCATAATACAAAAATCTATATCATAAGGTGAAAATTTCAGACCCCATTTACATAATAAAAATGAGTTCTATTAAAAAACATTTTTGTAGATAGTAATAGGGATTATCACTTATTGTTTTCGTGAAGCAGCAAAATCCTTTTTTGTATCAACACAATTTGATATGTTGGAGCACTTAATTTAGTGATGAACTTAAATTTTTGTTTCTGTTTTTTATCAGAGATCAACGCAAGAACTTAATTTATAAATTTTAAAAAATGGTAATTGGAAATCTATTATTGTAAAACCATGATCAATATTTGTAAATTATATAAAATAAATTAAATAAGCATTTAAAAATGCTTTTTGTAAATAGTTATTAATAAAAAGATGATATATTAAAATCACAAGAAAATGGTTTCTCCATTCTTTTAAATTAATATTATTTTTATTCTGCTAATGATGATGAGATTAATTAAAAATAAAGTTATTCTCTTTTCTTTTTCTTGCTTGTATTAATATCACTGACCGCCAATCCTATTTGATTTTATATAGGGTATATCGAAAGAAATAATAATAATTAAAATAATTAATAAAACTTCAATAATTTATTTCTAAATAGAAAATATGCGAATAAAATTTTTACCAGGCGGAAGAGATTTTTGTAATTTTTCTGCTTTCTCTGCATCTTCAATTACAAAAGTGTACAAATATCTTGAACATCTAAGCTTAAATTTCACCTTTGATACACCATTTTTCTTAATACGAACAGCTTTGATATATATGTGTGTGTATATATAGCATGTGTTAATTAATAGGAATAAAAAAATAACCAACAATAAATATATAATTACATTTTGCATCTTTTCTACGTGCAATCTCAAGAAAATATTTAATATCAGCAATTTGTTTTGGCTAGAAAAAACAAATTGGAAATATTATTTTCGTTAATAATTATATAATATTAAATCATTACTCCATTACTATTATTTACCATCTTTGAGACTTATTATTATCAAAAAAAAAATTTAAGATTTTAATTTTTTAAATTGAATCGATTACACAAGAAATGGTAAATTTACTTGATCGACAAACACGTGCACATTAATATTTTTTCTTGATTATTTTGACAAGATGACAAAACGCGGCTCTCCTAAAGATATGTTAATTACCAACCAGAGGTACTTTTTTTTAATTTACATTGACTTTTTTGGTTGTTATAAATATTATAATTGGAATCAAAACGTGGAACAGATCATTGCTGGGTAATAAGATTCTCATCAAGATGATGAATGAACAATTGGTATTTTGCTTTGTATAATCGTATTATTATTAATATAAATATATAATTACAAGATGTCAAAGCAGCACAACTGAAACAATTCGAGTATGATTATCGGAAATTGACAGACGTTGAAGCACACATGCTACTTGAACACTTACAGTCATTCTTATGCTCCTTGTGCACACAAGGCTAATCTGACCAGCTTCGCCCTATGGATACAATGGTGCAACTGAATTCCAGGGGGGAAGCACATAGCCCTGGAGTTGACTGCAAGGACACTTTTCACTAATCTTCCCTCACAGCACCCAGACCAGAGAAGGCTTGCTGGCATGCTAGCCGAAAAGTTGCCTGCAACGATCCTACCTCTAGGGTAAGGCTGGCTCTGTGATTGAGAAACTTTGAAAAGTTGTGATATTAGGTGCACATAAACATCCAGATCCATCAAAGAAATGAGAATCTGCAACTCGTTTCAAACACAGGAGGTTGCAATTCAGAGTGGGATTGGTGGCCCTGAAATTGCATTTGGGCTCTGATGTTAGGAAAGCTGTAAAATAAAATGATTTGGATTTTGTTTGGTATGTTATAAATTAATCATTTCCATATTTTTATTTTTATTTACCAACTGAATTTGATATTTTTTAAATGGGGCTTTTGCCTATATAACCCACCTAGGTTAGAGGAATGTAGCTCAATGAGAACATGTATCTTACAAGTATAAAGGTGGCAGTTCAATCCTGCCCACTCCTGTTGTGATAGTCACCATGATCGCTGGCATCAAGGAGAAAACTGTAAAATAAAATAGTCAGATCTTGTTCGGTATGTTATAAATTAA